TTTTTTTTTTTTTTTTGAGACAGAGTCTTGCTTTGTTGCCCAGGCTAGAGTGAGTGCCGTGGCGTCAGCCTAGCTCACAGCAACCTCAAACTCCTGGGCTCGAGCGATCCTTCTGTCTCAGCCTCCCGAGTAGCTGGGATTACAGGCATGCGCCACCATGCCCGGCTAATTTTTATATATATATATCAGTTGGCTAATTAGTTTCTTTCTATTTATAGTAGAGACGGGGTCTCGCTCTTGCTCAGGCTGGTTTTGAACTCCTGACCTTGAGCAATCCGCCCGCCTCGGCCTCCCAGAGAGCTAGGATTACAGGCGTGAGCCACCGCTCCCGGCCTATACAGTTGCTTTTTAAATTAGTTAAAAGAAAAAAGGAGAAAAAAGAGGCATTCATGCTATAATTTATAATTACATAATTACCTTTACTGGTGCTTTTTGGTTTTTTGTGTGTATTCGAATTATTATCTGAGACTCACTTGCAAAAGCAAGAAGCAGTTCCTTTGGTGTCCCTTGTAAGGCAAGTCTCTGCAAGCAACAAATTCTCTTAGTTTTTGTCTGTCTGGGAAAATATTTTGTTTTCATTTTTGAAAGATAGCTTTGCTGGCCCAGGTGGGAGGATCGCTTGAGCTCAGGAGTTCAAGACCAGCCTGAGCAAGAGCAAGACCCTGTCTCTACTAAAAATAGAAAGAAAAAAAAATTAGCCAGTCAACTAAAAATAGAAACAAAAAATTCGCTGGATGTGGTGGCGCATGCCTGTAGTCCCAGCTACCCGGGAGGCTAGGGCAGAAGGATCACTTGAGCCCAGGAGTTTGGGGCTAATTGCTGTGAGCTAGGCTGATGCCATGGCACTCTAGCCTGGGCAACAGAGTGAGACTCTGTCTCAAAAAAAGAAATACTTTTACTGGATGTGGATTCTTGGTTGATAGTTTTCTCTGAGCACTTTGAATATATCATTCCACTGTGTCTGGCCTCTATTGAGAAGCCAGTTTCTGCTGAGAAGCCAGTTGTTAATCTTATTGGGGCTCCCTTATAAGTAATAACTCATCTTCTGTTTCCTGTTTTTAAGGTTATCCCCCTTGTCTGACTTTCAGCACTTTTACTAAGATGCACCAGTTTGCGGTTTCAGCACTTTTACTAAGATGCACCAGTTTGCGGATACTTCACATTTTTTTTACTTGAAGTTTGTTGAGCTTCTGGATGTGTAGGTTTTGTTTTTCAATGAATTTGGGTAGTTTTCAGCTATTATTTCTGTGACTGTTTTTTCTGATCCTTTTGTTTCTCCTCTCCTTTGGTACTCCCGTTTCACATGTGTTGCTGTGCTGAATGGTGTCCCACATTTCTCTGAGAGCTCTGTTCATTTTCTTCGTTGTTTTTTCTCTGTTTTAGCAAGGAATACTTTTTTTGTGAGTTTTTGCCCTGGGGGTTTCTGACCACATGAATAACATAGATTTGACTCTTATTCCAGACATCCCTACCCCATTTGGAGACTGGAAGAAGCTTCCTTCTCATGTTCCTTTGCCTTTCACTGAATATGTGTCCCTTTGAGGCCCCTCATCCTCACGCCCTCCCCCAGGCGTCTGTCCTGCCAGGACTCTAGCTGCGCCACTCCTCGCACTCCAGCCCTAGGTCAGGTCTGTGCAGAATCTCCTGTGTGTGATTCCGGTGCAGTGGATCTTCTTCCCAGGCAGAGCTGGCAGCTTCCTTGGAGACTTATTTGAGACGCATTTTGATTTTAAAACAGTTAATATTCACGGCAGCCGCATCTTAGAGTTGGAGGAACTCTCGTAAGTAAACTGTTTAGACAACTTCAAAGCAAACCCTTCTGCAGGATAGTCGCCCAGGAGTCTGGCATTCTCTTCCAGCCTGGCCCTCTGGGGCTCTGTGGCCTACACCTGCCCTGGCCAGGTGTTCTTTGCCGTAACAATGTGTTGTGGTAACCACTCTCGGACCACCGCTCTCTGTGTCATGGGGCAGATTTACATTGCTCTAGCAGTGGGCAGGCTCTCAGACATGGGCTGGCCCCCTCCTCAGTTTCCCTGTTTGCCCTCCAGGCCCAAGTAGGGAGGGTCTGAGCCCCCTTTCCTGGTCACACACACACGTCTGTACACATGTGTGTTTGTTACAGGTCAGACATGTGTCGACATCAAGGACAATGTGGTGGATGAAGGATTCTACTTCACCCCCAAGGGGGATGACCCGTGCCTGAGCTGCACCTGCCACGGAGGGGAGCCTGAGATGTGTGTGGCCGCCCTTTGTGAGCGGCCTCAGGGCTGCCAGCAGTACCGCAAGGACCCTAAAGAGTGCTGCAAGTTCATGTGTCTGGACCCAGGTGAGACTCTTGCTGCTGGGTGACAAGCAGGCACCCCACTCAGGACTGGATGCTAGATGTCCCTTCACTTGGTTGGTGGTGGGGACTCACCCGGGGGCTCGTGGCGTGTGGTGCAGCAGCAGTGGCATCATTTGCTCACAGGGCTGTCTCAGAGGCTCTGGTGCTGCTACTGCAATGGGTTTGTCTCCTGTGACCTCTCAAGGTGCCTCATTCCCGTTCTCGGGTAACAGCATTCGCAAGTGAACGTAAACTTGAATGTGGCTGGCTGTCCACAAATCAGCTGGAGCTGATGGTTTCAAAGCTGTTCCCGCCTTTCTTTAAGAGTCAGAGCTAGAATTTATTCATGTTTGATCCTTCCTGTTTTTTTAGTATGATAATATGGAGGGTAGTGACAATTGGCATTGCTTATACTCATCAACTTTTACCGTTAGATTCTTCAAGAAAAAGATTAAATATCACCCTCAGTTTCAAGGTAAGACACCTCAGCAGGTGGTGCTTTAAGGTGGACCCTACGAGGAATCTGCTCTTGGAATAACCCTCTCCCTTCCACATGCAATAAAAGAGGAGCCAGTGGGATCCTGCTATCTGGGACCGTCAGCAACCCATTGCACTCCACGTGGCATGCCTCACCCTGCACACCAGGGCAGCCGCCAGCTCTGGCGGACTCAGATCTCAAGAGAACAGTAAATTGAACATGTGAACTTGTTTCTTTCTCGGGTGCCGCAGTGTGAGAACAGTGTGGCAAGGACTTGTGGCAGCCCCTTGGCTCTTGGACCCAGCCGAAGAGCAGCGTGGGTGGGGCGTGGTGGCTGTCTTCTTGCCCCAGGGCCCTGAGGAAGCGAGACGGTAGCTGGTGTACGAGGGAGACAGTGAGAGCTGTCCCCGCGGGGAATGTCGTCCACGTCCCTCCACACCAGACAGGCTGCTGGGTAGAGGACAGTCATCCTCCTGAGGGCGCTGTGTCTGAGGCCGGGCAGAAGTAGGCACTTAGGCACACGTGCCATCAGACATGTGCAGTTAACTGCGGCGAGCAGAGAGGCCACGTTTGCAGCCTAGCCCACCAGAGGACGCAGAGCTGGGGGTGGGAGAGGGTGGCACTCGGGTCCCACCCCACAGGCAGATGGTGTTCTGTTTGCACAGGGTGTATCTGTGGGGCTGGGAGAAGCACTGGTGGGCTGCTTACCAAATTTCCACGTCCCAGCCACGCTACCCCAAACCTCCAGCTCGTTTTCCATCTGTGGGAATCAAACTCTATTCACAAGCCATGTCACCTGGATTCCTGGTTCCATTTCTTGGGAGTCTACCAGTGCTGCCTCGCCACTCTATCCGAACTTTGTAAGGGTGACCAGACGTATACAAGGGTGCCCCGTCTGTGGGCACGTGTAGCCTAGGGAGCCTGCCCAGCCCTGAGGACTGCTTGGCAAAGTGGAGCCCTCAGTGCGTCTGGGCAGGCCCAGGGTGGCTGCGGTCCACTCTCCTGCACTGTGGCCACACTCCTGCAGGCTCCTGACCCTCTCCCAGAGCCCTTCTCCTGAGAAGTGCCCTATTGCATCAAGAACAGAGATACTGCCATTGAGACTCTGGGAACAGGATCTCAGATGTTAAGCTTCAGAGTATCCCTTCCAACAAGGTAAGAGTGTCTGTTCTTCCACACTCTTCGTTGTTATACTCGGTCAAAGCCAGTGGCAGAAGGCAAGAAGAAATGAAAAGGCATCCAGACCAGAGGGGAAGAAATGAAGCCATCTCTCTTTGCAAATGACACAATTGCATAGAATATCCCAGAGAATCTACAGGAAAGTTACTAGAATTAATAAATGTGATTAGCAAGGTCTCCAGATATAAGATCAACATACAAAAATCCACTGTATTTACATGATCTACCTGTAATAGTTGGCAATTGAAATTTTAAGAAAGTAGCACTTATAATGGCACCAAAAACATGAAATGCTTAGTTATAAATCTTATAAAATATGCGTACCTTTTTTCTGTTTGCTGCAAACTAAAAAACCGGTGAAAAATGTCAAAGGCTTAACTAAAAGGAAAGATATACCATGTTCATGGATAAGTGGCTCAGTATCATTAGGAAGTTAATTCTTCCCAAATTGTAGATTCAGTGCGATCTCAACCAAATTTCCAGCAGACTTTTTTGTAGGCACTGACAAGCTGAGTATAAAATTATATAGAAAGCCAAGGGAGTTAGAATAGCCAAAAACTTTTTATAAAGAAAGAAGTTGGAAAAAAAAAAAAAAAAAAGAAAGAAGTTGGAAGATTGATGCTACCCGACTTATGACTTACTGTACAGCCATAGTTAACCAGAACAGTTTGGTGTTGATGAAAGAATAGACTTGTAGATTGCTCTAACAGAATAGTCCAGAAATAGTCCTATGTCCTATATGATCAAATGATCTTTGACAAAGGTGCCAAGGCAGTTAACTAGGAAAAGGATAGTCTTTCAACAAATAGTGCTGGGACGGTTTGACATCCATATGCAAAGAATAAGAACCTTACACCTCCTACTGTATATAAAATGTACTCTAAATGTCATAGACCTAAGTGTAGAACCTTAAACTGTAAAACTCCTAGAAGAAAACATGGGAGAGAAATCTTTGTGACCATAGGACAGGCAACATTTTTAGCATGATCCTTAAAAAACTGATAAATTAGACATCAAAACTGGAAACATCTTGTCTTTGGAAGACACTATTAAGGAAATGAAAAGACAAGCCACTGACAGAAGCAAAAAGAATATCTGTGTAATCCTAGCTCTTGGGAGGCCGAGGCGGGCGGATTGCTCAAGGTCAGGAGTTCAAAACCAGCCTGAGCAAGAGCAAGACCCCGTCTCTACTATAAATATGAAAGAAATTAATTGCCAGCTAATACATATACAAAAAATTAGCCAGGCATGGTGACGGCATGCCTGTAGTCCCAGCTTCTGGGAGGCTGAGGCAGGAGGATTGCTTGAGCCCAGGAGTGTGAGGTTGCTGTGAGCTAGGCTGACGCCATGGCACTCACTCTAGCCTGAGCAGCAAAGTGAGACTCTGTCTCAAAAAATTTTTTTTACACACTAAAAGCATTTAAGAAGATTTCTGCTAAGAAACTGCAGAGTGAAGAAAACAGTGAAAAACGGCGCGAGTGGACAGGAGAGCGGGGAGCCAGCCCCTGCTGTGGGCGCGGGCGCCAAGCAGAGCGCAGCAGGTCGAGACCCGGCCCAGGGCAAAGGCACCAAAACACAACCGGCTATATTCAAATCTCTGCAGTGATGATGAATGCTTCCCTAAAAGATTCCGTGCCCAAGAATAGTAGTACCTAATGGCAATAGGAGGCCTCACAGGTAAGATGTTTAAACAATGTTTATTTCATCAACGTTTTGTCCAGCTCTTTCTTCTGTTTATTATTTTTGTGAGCAGTTTCGCTCTGTTGTCTTGGCTGGAGTGCTATGGCGTCATCCCAGCTCACTGTACCTCAAACTCTGGGCTTCAGCGATCCTCCCACCTCAGCTTCCCGAGTGGCTGGGACTGTGGGTGCACTGTGCCTGGCCAATTTTTTTCTATTGTTGGTAGAGACAGAGTCTCACTCTTGGTGAGGCTGGTCTTGAACTCCTGGCCTAAAGTGATCCTCCCACCTCAGCCTCCCAGAGTGCTAGGATTACAGGCGTGAGCCACCAAGCCCCGCCTTTTTTTTTCTTAACGTATTACCTTACGGGGTGGGCGCAATGGTGCATGAGTAACATTGTATATATTTATTTGCATACATACATTTTAAATTTGGAGTTCATTCCCCTCAGGGGTCCTGTGGGGCTTGGGAGTTGACCTCTCTGGCCTTTCCCCTGGGTCCATGCCACCTGTGAGCTCCACCCTGGGGTGCCGAAACGCTGCAGGTCCTCCTGTGCCTTGGAGACAGAGCTGCCACCAAACGCTATAAGGCCAGTGTTTTTATAGCATTTGCACGAAAGTTTGAAAGAATCACAGATCCCTATTGTCTAGAGAGATCAGTCACATTTCCCACGTGCTGTGCCACCCCCGGGCTTTACATCCTCTCTGCCAACAGTATCACTTGATTTGGGGTTATATATACTTCACAATTTATTTTATTTATTTTTTATTTTTTTGAGACAGTCTGGCTTTGTTGCCCAGGCTAGAGTGAGTGCCGTGGCGTCAGCCTAGCTCACAGCAACCTCAACTCCTGGGCTCAAGCAATCCTCCTGCTCAGCCTCCCGAGTAGCTGGGACTACAGGCATGCGCCCCCATGCCTGGCAAATTTTTCCTATATATTTTTAGTTGGCCAATTAATTTCTTTCTATTTATAGTAGAGACGGGGTCTCGCTCTTGCTCAGGCTGGTTTTGGACTCCTGACCTCGAGCAGTCCGCCCGCCTCGGCCTCCCAGAGTGCTAGGACTACAGGCGTGAGCCACCGCGCCCGGCCTTCATATTTATTTTAAAACACAAAAGTGGAAATACATAATGTGTTTCAGTGTGTCTGTGTGTTGTGTGACTTGTTCATTTAAGATTCACTGGAAGCCTTTGCCCCGTTTGTCCCGGTCTCTGCACACGCACACCCTAACTGGGTGCACTCGTGTCACTGGTTGGCTGGCATCAGCAGGCACGTGACTTGGTGGGAGCCTTCTTTTCTCCCGGGTTTCTTTGCAGATGTGGCCAGTCCTTTGTGGTCTCCGTCTTCCCTGCCCTGGTGCCAGGCCCGAGTGGGGACATGCCCGTGTCATGTCGTAGGGCCCTGGCCTGTGCGGTCCGCAGACAGGGCTGCAGTCCCGGACCAGCCGGGGGGAGCTCGCGGTCAGCAGGGAGGGCGGGGCCGGGCTGCTCTAGCCTGCTGGAAGGCGCAGTGCGGAGAGCCTGCCCGCTGGGCGCGGTGCCGCTCAGGTTGGAATGGGGCAAGGTGGAGTCAGGCCTCCGTCCCCAGAGGAAAGACAGCCCCCAAGCTCGGCAGCTGCCTCTGTCATGGGCTGTGGGGAGGCCCCAGACAGCCCGATGGGCCCCGTGCAG